CGATTGTGCACAAGTAAGGTTATAGAGCTTCACAGAGGTCTAGTTTAATTACTACGTAAGGTATTATAGTAGGTACAAGACGTTATGTGAGGAACAAGAAAGTTTAAAAAGAAATTAGTAATTAAATACTTAGCTTAAAAGTCTAAGCGCTTTAGGTATAAATTAAGCCTATTTTAAGTTTAGTTAGTGTTAAAGTAGTTTATGCTTAAGTTTATGTCTATGTTATGTTATATTTATGTTAGACGTGCACTAATAATACTCTAGTACACGTCTAATATAGTTATGTCTAGGATCTAAGGAGAATACTGTAACAGTACCCCCCCTCTTATTAAAAAGAGAATCCTTTACATTAGTAGTTCTAGCATTAAGTTGTCTTTATTAGGGTACAAGTTTAGTTTAGATAAGTATTAGGTGTAAAATTAAGTTACTATAGAGTTTTCTTATAAAGCTTTTACAGGTTTCTATAACAGTTTATTATGTCTAGTTTATTTTATAAAGTATTTATAAATATGTTTTTTTTTATTAAACTAGATTTATTTAACATTTTCTATAATGTATTCTAGTTTATTATTTATAATAATAAGTTTAGGTAGCAGGTTTAGCTATTTAGGTAGATAGTTAGATTTAAAGGCTACTTAGCGCAGCAATAATACATAGAACACAGGGTGTATCTTTATGCTGTTAGGTAGGATTAATTAGTAAGCATGTAATAAGACTATATAGGCTACTATAAAGAGGCTAAAGTTCTTCTAATTAAGTTTCTTTAATTATTAGTTTATTTAGATATTTCTAGTATCTAGCTAGACCTTCTTACTAGCTATATACATAAGGGTAGGAGTTTAAAATTAGTTTATATACTTTTATTAAAAAGCTTAAGCTTATGTAAGCTTTTTATAAACATATTTAAATATATTTTAAATCTTATTAATAAGTCTATTTACATTTATTACTTATATAAATTAATAAGTTAGTTAGAGAGTATTTAAAAGTAGTTTAAATTTTATTTAAGAGTAGTATCTATAGTTTGCTAAAAATAAGAATACTTATGTAAATTTAAATATTATGTTATTAGCTTTAAACTATGCTATAGCTAACTATTTTACCTAGTTATCTTACTAGTAGTTTATATACACTTATAGAACTTATTTTATTATAGTGTTTATATTCTTAGTCTAGCTATTAGTCTCTAGGTAAAAAGCTGTAGATAGATAAAGAATAATTTAAAGCTATTTACAGAGTTTGTTTTAAAAGGCTAAGATAAACTGCGTACCTCTGTCTAATATAATTATGTTAGGCAGGCTATAGTAAACTTATATGTATTAGTAGAATAACTAGGCTATATTAAGGGCAGTTATAAAGAAACATAGTATTAAGTGTTAATACTTAGTTAAGTAATTAATAACTACTATAATATTTATATACTTTTTAAATAAAAGTAGTTTATAATAAAATTAATTAATATATCTTTCTAAGCTTATTTAAAAATTAGAAGTAGTTTAAGTAGGCTATTATACTTTTTTTAAGAAGCCTTTACTTTACAGTAAGTATAGCAACATAATACATATTAGCGTACAGTATAGAACATGCAGGGCTAGTAGTACTCTCTCTATAGTAGGTTAAGAGTCTTTCCTCTACTTAGGTGTCCTCTAACAGGCAAGTTGTGTATAATTTAGAGTAGTTTAATTCTTAGTTTATTAAAATTAAAAATTATAAGTTAGTTATAGTAATATAGCTTACTATGTTAGTTTTTATAGTTAGCTAGTGTTACCTTCTTTAACTAACTAGTGCTGTTTTAGAGTAGGTCTAAAGTTTCTTAAATAAATTTATTATTTAAATACTTATTAGTAATAATTTAATTAATTATTTAATCTATTTTATTTAAGTTAAGGTTTAAAAATAGCTTAAGTTAAAGTAAAGTTTAGTGTTAAGCTTTTTACACTTCTTTTTAAGTAAGAACATTTTAGAATTACTTTATAAAAGCATTTAGTTTTTCTTTATCTTAACTAGGATAATAAGTAATCTTAAAATTAAAATAAAATAAGTATTTAAACTAATAAGCTTATTAGTAGCTAAGTTATTTTATAGTTATAAAGTACTATAAGTTCTTATAGTTAAATAGGACCTATATTAGATGCACTACACCTTCTAGTTTAGGTTACTATTGTTTAAAGTAGTATACTATAGTAAGTAATTTTTTATTATAGATCTTATAATTACCTTCTGCAGGACTTATTCTTTTTAAGAAATATGTAATAGGCCTAATAGTTCTATCTAGCTTAGTCTAGAAAAGAACTCCTACTACTACATAGTCTAAGGCATTAGCTTCTACAAGTATTAGTAGTTTAAAGTTAAAGTAGTAGAGTATTAAGGCTTTAGTAAAGGCTTTTTTTAGCTAGTTAAAAAACTATTAGTAATTTAAGTTAAAGTTAAATTAAATTTTTTTTTTAGTAAGTGTAATTATACAGCTTACTTACTATAAAAAGTTATTAATAAATTATTAGTAAAAGTTAGTAAATTTTATAAAGGCTTAAACATTTTTTATGTTTTTTAAGTATTACTAATCTAGCACAGTTTAAACCTTAATAGGGTCTATTTAGATGCTATTTATAGAAATTACATATCCTAAATACATAACCTTTAATTAGTAGAACTTACATTTATTTATGTTAAGTTACAGACCTGCTTCTTCTATAGCCTTTAGCACTAAGCGTATATGCTGTTTATGCTCTAAAAGGCTATTACTATAGATTAAAATGTTATTAATATACATAGTGTAAAACACATTTAGGTAGGGTTAGAGTAAGTTGTTTATAAAATGTTAAAAAGTACTAGGCGTGTTAGCTAAGCTAAAAGGCATTACTAGGTACTTAAATAGTTTATATTAAGTCTAAAATGCTGTTAGCTACTTATTACCCTTTACTATTCTTAGCTTATTAAAGGTAGTAATAATATTTAACTTTATAAAATACTTTGCTTTACTTAGTTAGCTTAGAGTTTTCTATAAAAAAAATTAAGTATTAGTTTTTAATAGTAATAGTGTTTAGTCCTTAGTAGTTAACATAGAATTTAAGCCTACCTCTAGGTTTTTTTATAAATAGTATAAGTAACACTACTAGTAAAAAGCTAGCTTAAATAAACTTTTTTTTTAGGTTCTTATTAAAGTATTTTTAAAGCACTTTTAATTTATTTAGTAACATTTTATATAGTAGCCTATAACTAGGTTGTTTACTAGGCTTAAAAGTTATTTAGTAATTATATAGACATTATATTAAAAGCTTATTAAACTTATCTTAAAAAAAGACATGTAATAAGTTATAGTAGTCTTAAGGGACTATTATCTTTAAGTTAGTGCGTTTTTAGAAAGCTAAAGCTTAGTTTATATTAGAAATTATAACTGCGTAGATTTTATAATCTAGTTATTAAGCTAGAGTTATAAATAAAGTAGGTTCTATATAGCAGATGTCTATTTACTGTTTAAGTCCTAGTTTATGTTTAAATTAAGTAAGTAAAGATTTCTTAAAAGCTTTTTTTTTTTAAGTTTAAGTAGTTATTAAATTATTTTACATAGCTTATCTTAG